AAGGCACACACCCATGTGCAGCCCCCACAAAAGAAGCAGTCGTAGAGTGTGTTTAAAGGTCCTGTTCGTTAATCTGTTAGCAAACCACTCCCGCAACGGGCAAAACAAGGTGAAGCTCAGATTCAAACACGCTTCTAGCATTAGTCACTGCTTTCTTTGCTTGAATTGGTTGAATAGGTGCAGCTGGTGTAACTTGCCTGATTACCACAGAGGCACCACCCATATCCTGCAAATCAGCAAAGCTCAAGCAGCATGAACATGTATTTTGTTCGAACAAGGTTTTTGTTTGACCAAATACGCGTGTCTCAATGGCCAGCGAAATCTCCCGTGTCCTGTGAGACCCGAGTTGGGGCATCCCCATCCCCAACCCCCCCGCCCCAGCCTGCAGGTCCTGGCCTGCCTCGATCTCCGGGTGGTGCTGACACCCCGCCAGGTTGGAGCCCCCGCCTCGAGCTCGGAGACGACTCGCGCTTTTGAGGGGTACTGGAGTTCTGAAGCCCGAACTCGGGGCCGAACTTTCTAAAAATGAGGGACCCCTCCAGCTGCTTTTGGCTTTCTTGCGGTGCCGAAACGAAAAACCGTCCGGGCGCCTAAATTCAGACACTCCCAAATTGGGAAAGAATTTGAAGAGACCCAAAGCTCACCAAAAGATTAAGCCATTCGACACGAAAGAGCAACACGGGGAAGCGAAGGAAGCCGACAAATCTTCTACCTTTGGTCGCAGCAACCCGAACGATTTTGGTCCTCGTGTTTCCTGACAGAATTCAGAATCCCAGTGGAGTTCCTCGGGGAAGCAAGAGCAGCCTCCTTTTTGTTTGAGTTCAAAGGGAACCCTCCACGAGAAACAAGGCAGGGGCGTCACTGGGTATTGGGTGGTTGCACCCCTGAAAACAGCGAACCTGCTTTGTTGACACCCACAACTTGCTGGTGCTCAGTAGGGATTGAGGGAACGAACCCACAAATTCCCTAGGAAACCACCTGTTGGATGGTTTCTAGGGTTCATTCCAACTCACTCCCTGCTGAGCACCAGCAAGATAAACCACTAGGTAGAACGGTCCAAAAAAAACGGCCATGGGTTAACATCCTGAATTCACCTACCAACCAAAATGGGATCCCACATTGGTTTTGACAACCACAGCCAACTATATACTCCTCTGATTCGCATGGAGCCCAACAAGGGTCCCTTAAAACTGAGCCAGCTGGTGGGAAGGGAGGCGTTATGGAGCTGGGGGTATGCGAACGTGCGAAAGAAGTGCCCATCTGATCCGAGCTGCAGCAGGCGGAGCCCTTGCCCCCCGAGCGGATGAGGTCGCGGCCTGCCAACGGGCCGAACGGGAAGCGCAGGTGCGGTTTGCGGAGCGTGGGAAAATCAGTTGGGGGGCCTCCTTGCGGTGCCAAGGTTGGCTGGTTGGTTGCTTGCTTGCTTGGTTGGTTCGTTGCTTGCTTGCTTGCTTGCTTGGTTGGTTGGTTGGTTGGTTGGTGGCTTGGGTTGCTTGCTTGCTTGGTTGGTTGGTTGGTTGGTTGGGTGGGTAGGTGGGTAGGTGGGTAGGTGGGTAGGTGGGTGGGTGGGTGGGTTGAAGTTGGTTGGTTGAAGTTGGTCGGTTGAAGTTGGTTGGTTGAAGTTGGAAGTTGGTTGGTGGAAGTTGGTTGGTTGGTTGGTTGGTTGGTTGGTTGGTTGGTTGGTTGGGTGGGTGAGTGGGTGGGTGGGTGGGTGGGTGGGTGGGTGGGTGGGTGGGTGGGTTGGTTGGTTGGTTGGTTGGTTAGCCAGCGAACTGGTTGGATAGCAAGCTACACCAACAAAAACGCGTTGCGGGAAGCACCCACTTGGTGGATTCCCCGCTTTCGTCTCTGGTCTGTTTTTTGGGAGGCCTGCCCGACGCGCGGGCAAGACAAATATCGAGAGGGAGCATTCAACTGATACGGGGGTTGGGCCAACCCCTTGTTTAAGCAGTTCAACCGTCCAACTCCCTTATTTTTTTATTTGCGGATACGCCCCCTGGAAAAAATGTGCAGCAGTGATCGACTCCTTTTAAAACCAACAGAGGAAAATAAACATAAAACACAACATCTTAAACAAATGGAAGTTTTGATTCGTCTCCTTGCAGTTTCCCGTTGGACGGTCTGGCTACCAATCTCGTTACCAACCATTTGTCGGGTTGTCAATGCCCAACCTGTTGCGCATAAAAAGCACCAGCCATGGCAAGGGGTCATGGCCATCCTTGTCATGTACATGTAGGTAGACAAGAATGACATGGGTCGGTCTTTCTTGGGCGGCCGCCAAGCCCATCAGTGACAATATCTACCCTCTTGAGCACTTTGCCATCGAAGCGTTGCACAACTGAGCAGCACCCACATCCTATTCGTAAACATCTTGGTCCTCGCCATGAATTCACCCAACCAAACCAAGAAGAACGTCAGCGGCTTGGTCACTCTGGCTTGCGACTCGACACGGGACTCCCCCGTGCGCACAGGGGTCAATCAGGATGTCGATGCTGTAAGCAACCTCAGGCGTTAGAGTCGGTGGCCGGGCGCGGGAAGAAATCCTTCGATGCCCATGACATATCGTGGGAACGAACCCAGAAATCGCACCACCCAACAAACCCTGTGTCAAACCATTGTTTGTTGGTATTTGCAGTCCACGGTTTCTTAGGTGGTGCTGGATTTCGTCCAACCACAGTAGTTTCTGATCACACAATCTGAAGCTCAGAAGGGGTGAAGCCAGCAAGTCTGCTTCTTTTGGAAAAACAACAAGCAGTGTCATGGGAACCCACCGAAATCACCCCATAAGGTGCTGAAATCTGCTCCGACTTGACTGCTATAACGACAGGCCAAGTCGCATAGTCCTGCTGCAATCGAAACCTCAGGCATCTGGGTCTGAGCATGGACAAAACCAATTTCGCACAGTGGATAGATGAAGCTCTAATGAGATAAACTACCTACCAGCTGGATTTCGCCTGGTGTGGTTTTGTTGTTGCCCCCTGCAACATCTGGACCTCTAAGCAAACATGCCCCAACACCTGCGCGAGGGTCAACACTTTGGGCATGCATTTCGCTGTCCCCCGAGGAATCGGCTTGTAGTCGGTCCGGATCAGCGCAAAGTAGGGATCTGTATCCCGCCTTGGATCGATCCGCTCCCTATGAGTTGGTTACGGGATGCACCACAACATTCCCATCCCCCTCCCAAATACCCGGGTATTTGGAGCAGGGGGTAAGCTCATCAGCCAAGCCACCTTCAGAGCGACCTTTCAAAAACACGAGCCTACAACATAGACCGTCCCCGACTGTGGATGGACAAAACCCTGCACCAGTGAGGGATGGATGAAACCCGATTTAAATTCTGGGTCCCAAGCGATGCGTCTTTGTGGATGTTGTCCAGTTAAAATTACCACGAATTCCCCGGCCCGTCCCGTCCCCTGGATTTTGGGGTGCGTCCTGTGGGCTTTGTGGGAAACTGATATCTCCCATGTGTCCCTCCCAAATGGGACAGACTGCCGACCGGACATTTTCGCCAAACCTCATATGGTTGTCTGTTATGAGGGTACTCCTGTTTGTGGTGTTGAAAGGAAGACAAGCCACCCGTGTCAAGCTGGACAAAATGACTTGTTTCCGTTAAGCGGTATGAAACAATTGGGTGCGGGCCCCGACTGGGGATTGAAATCCCAATAGCAGGTAAGACAGTGACAATTACGATCAGGTTTTCAAGGGGACGACCCAAAACCAGTGCCACGCCTGTTTATGGCAAGGGAAAACCAATGGCACTTGAGTCTGGCAGGCTATGCGGGTAGATGACTACCAGGTTAAGACTAGCTGATTTTTGTCGACCGAAACGCAGCAAAGACCGGGTTGCTCAACAAACCCTTAGGCAAGGATCGAAACTGGGCCCCGGAAAAGTGAAACGTGAGGACACCAAATCGTGATTGCCAATTGTGCATTTTTGTTTGGCCATCTTCTTAGATGACCTCTGACCAAACCATTGGTGGGTGTGGCTCAAAATTACACAGGAGGGTTACGCAGGTTTTGGTCCATGTTTCCACTTGCCAGGGTTCCATTTTGGGTACCGTCTTTTTGAGCCACAGCCTGGTTTACCCTCAGGACGGTAGCCCGACGGAGTTTTCGGTCCGAGTCTCTGTGGCATGTTCTTCACCGGCGACCAGCCCACGGCATCCTCGAAAGCTCAACCCTACCAGAAGCTGACACGCGGTTTGTCAAAACAGGTGAGTCATAATCAAAACCCGGTATTAAAATGGTCGACCCAGAACCATGTAAATAATTTAGAAGGCGGCCGCAGCTATTTATGGTTGGGATTGTCCCTTACTAACCGTCACTTACCCGGGTTTTGATTGTGACTCAGGTGATGTCAGGGTTGTGGGATCAAGGGGTTTATCCAACCACTTCTGTGATACAAGCGAATTCCCCTCTTTGTAAGGGGTTAGTCTTTGGGAGGCCCTTGCTGTTGTATCACGGTCATTTCATTTCCCACAGCCCTGGGTGCTGTCGACCCCTGAATGAACATCAGGGGGATACCCACTAAAAACGACTCCCCTCAGTGCTTCATCAGGGGCACGGATGATGACTCAACTCAACACACAAGCAGAAATCCGCGCAACTGTCCCGCACAGTTCTTTAGCCTCCTACAGTTCTGGGAGCATCCTGTTGGAAGCTTTCAAAGGACGTCCCAAAAAAGTGCAACTGGGTCTGGCTCAAGATTACAGAGCTAGGGCTACGCAGGCTTTAGTCTTTGGTTCCATTTACCAAGGTGCCATTCTTATGCATTCATTTGAGCCACACCCAACTTGCGACTAGCATAGGTGTCCTTTTTGGGAAAATAGATGGCCCTGGCAGTTGATTGAACCACCAGGTAAACCAGGAATCGCCCTCTATTTTTACGCCAAATCCACCAAACAAGGACACCAACGTGCGCTTGGCAACCGCGAAAAGCTCCGCCCGAAGGCTCCACAAAGAGAGCCCCGCCTGGGCCCGGGTCTGTTGGCCTCAGAATGGCCCAAGCCTGGAGGTGATCACCTTGCCTTCTCAGCTGCCCGCTGGCCACGGGAAAAAAAGAATCGCCATCTCGATTTGTTTGGTGGGTTGACTTCAACGAAGACCCTTTTCCGAAAAGGAAAAAAAAAGGAGAAAAGGGCGGGCAACTGGGCAACTGGATGCCTTGGCTATACAGCTAATGTCTGCTAAAGACCTCTGGGAAGCATGGCAACATACTTTAGGACACACCCACCTGGCGCAAACACCCCCCAACAAATGCCAGGGGTCTGCATGAGGATTGGTCAGAACCCCATTTTCCTCCCGGAATGGCTCAAGCTCAGGCTAGCGCAGAGCAACACGACCAGCAGCTGCCCCCACATGGCGCAAAGCGACAAAGCGAGCTGCCCTAAGCTTGCGCGCGCCGTTACCTGCAACGACCCCAAGAGCAAGAACTGAATGCCGGCTTGGATTTTGAGGCATGGCCGCCCTAAATGCGTAATGCCACCTTTGGATTTTGAGGCATCGCTGGAATAGCAATGCGTGTCTTCAACCAGAATCGAACAAGCGACACAAGGCTTCATGCCAGGTCTTAAACCGGGTCCCAAGGATACCACAAACCTAGCTGGGAGAAGGGCCCTGCTAAAAGCTTCGTCGAGGGAAACCAGGCGCAACACATATTTTAAATCGACCACCGCTTCAGCTGCTTAAGGAAATGGCCTGTTTTCTCACCTGGGTGAACGAGGCCGTGAGTTGTTCATTTGAACCTGACGCAGCAGAGCCTCTGGAAATCATTTCGGCTGAAGGCTCTCTCCCGGTGAAACCAAGCCGAAACAGCTGCAGCGAATCCTTCATTCCCCTGCAACCAGTGGCCCTGCTAGACCAAACGGGCCGAATCCTTCCTGAGGCTTTCCACGCACCGAAAACCCAAAACTGGGGCAAACTGTAGGATCAACCAACAGGGGGCTCTAAATGTGTCAAAGGCCAGGTAACAAACCGCAGGGTCCCTAAGTTGGATGGCACATAGATATCAACGACTAGCTCTGACGCGTAGAACGACTCTTAAGGATGCAACGTACCGAAAGGTGTTGACACTTTCTGTTGGTTGCTTTAAAGGGCAAAGGGAACCAACTGGAAACCAAACGGGAAACCGCGGGGAACCCAACTGGAAACCCCATTTGGCTGTGGCTCAAGTAAATGTACCAACATGTTCTTTCCTGGCAAATGGAACCAAAGACTAAGACCTGCGTAACCCTGGGCATTTCATTTTGAGCCACACCCGTTTTGAGCCCGAAGCCGCAGGAGCGAGCGAATTCCCGCGGGCGAGCACCGCCGTGCGCACCGGCCTCGCAGAGGCTCTGCTTCAAGGCCTGCAGCCGCGAGCCGCCCGCCGCGGACACGGGGGTGCTGCCGATCTTCAGGTCGACCCTGCGGGGGTCGAAGACTCGAGGACGGGACGGGCTGAAAGAGCAGCTTCCCACTGGTGTGGTTTAGTGCCTAGGAGTCGGGGGAAAGAACAGGGGTGTCTTTGTGCCAAACCATTGAAATTCATGGGGTTAATATTACCGCCAACCATTTTTTTAAAAGGGATTCCATGGAAGGAGGTGAGAAAAAACCGGGGTGTCTTTTGGCCGCCTTGCGTGAGGAAATTGGCGACTCTGGGACCGGGTGGGCTGAAAGGTCAGCTTCCCACTAGTGTGGTTGAGTGGCTTGGAGTGGGTTAACCCATACAAGAACCAGGGGTGACCAAAAACCCCAAACCACGAATCCAAACCACCAACTAGGTTACCTGGGCTGGGTGTGGGGCTGGGTTTTGGTTCTGGGGGGCTTAGGGTTAGGTTCGGGTTGGGAAAGGCTCGATGGCGTTGAAGCAGCCGGCGAGGCCAAAAGAAACAGAGGCCTAGGGCGGAGATTCCCAGAAGCCACGAGGTATTTCGGTATTTTGGTATTTCCCTCATGAACCTGTTTAGCTTCCAAACAACGAAAGGAGAGAACCACTCAACTCTCCTAGCCCCTTGGACCCGAACACTTTTGCTCGGGCCTTGAACCCCCAAAGCCCAGAAATGAGGTGCAAGACACCCTCAAAGTCTTGGTGCCCGCGGGCTGCGTTTTTTTCGTCTCAAGAGGCCTCTAGGCCTGGCACAAACCCGCTCCCAGAAAGACACCGAAGGCTTAAACCAAAGTAAAACGCCCGAAGAGGTCATCATCAAAGAACACTGCGCTGATCATGTGAACTTCTAGCAAAATGGATAGTGGATGGTGGCAAAGGGATAAAACATAAAACCAATCTAAACTAGCGGAACCCATCTATTTCTATCCAAACTAACCGATCAAAAGGACACCTATGGCCCAAATGTGTGCATTGGGGGATATTCAAACAGGCTCCATTGACTCACCTCAAGGCCCCAAAAAAGGCTCGCCATCCCACCAAAGCGATCGATCCCCACCCACGACACGCCACCGGTCCACCAGGTGAATGGTCGGCAAGAGCCAAGAGTCGGGAAGTGTGAATCCAACCACTAAGGGCATTTAAAATCCTTTTAGTGTGAAGCCACGGCTCCAACCCCATTTTCCATGCATCGGGGGACCCGGTTTACGAGATCTCTTCTCAACGGGTTCCGGTGAAATGCACCGAGCCAAGCACGTGTATTTGTAAGGAACCCATGTTGGTATGTGTCAAAAAGAGAGGACTCCCCAAAAACCTTCTTGGCTTCCCTTTCAACCAACCCCGAAACGAGTACCTACAACAACACAAGCCCAATCCCGTTCAAACCACCATTAAAACAAAGGGGTTCGTAGAACCACCATTGTTTACCTAAGCTTTGTCATCATCCAAATTGAGTCAACCGGTCTTTTATGGGGGTACCCCTAGCCCCATTTTGCTACCCATTCGACTCGCCCAACTTCTCGCATTCGGCTTTTTCTCTCGCGCGCCCAGGGTGGTTTCAGCTCCTGACACAGTGGCCATACCTGGGGTCGGTTGCGAAATCTGCTCTGCTAAAAGTGACGAACTTTGAGTGGTTCAATGGAAAACCCATTAGTTTGTGAAAAGTACATGCAAGCAAAAGGCACCAAAGGGTAGGTAATGCGGCTTAATGTTGACCCCCGGATGCACAATACCCCCTGTTTGATATATAATAAGGTGCGTTTTTTTCCAGGTGAAACGTGGGGAATCAGACCACTTTTGGAGGGGCAAAAAAACCACCCCCCCATATTTATAAACAGGGGTTGATCCAGAATCTGGGGTCAACATCACTATGATCCGCCCGTTTTGCCGAGGATTCCGACCAGATCCAAGGTGACCCAAACAAGCCAACTGGCTGCTCGAAAGGACATCACAACTTTCCCAAACGGTTCATGGAACAAATGGGTCAAACTCCCCGCCGGAGATTCCTCCAAAACCGCCATCCTTGGCCCGAACTGGGACAAGCACCTCTACTCGGTTGCTTTCTTCTCCCCTGCTAAAAGTGACGAACTTTAGTGGTTTAATGGAAAACAAAAAGTTTAAAGTCCTCTTATTTAAGCAAAATGCACCAATGTCTATATGGCCCAACCCCAAGGCCCCCAAAATCTAGGTCCTCCAGAGAGGGCTGAATAAGTTGGTACCAGCTTTCTTGCGTAGTCTATTTTAGTACCTGGATCTCCTGGAAGTTAAGAATTCCTACTCCAAAATTGAAAAAGTACTTTTTGGCCTGAGGACACGGGTATTTCCACTTTCGAACGGGTATTTCTACTCTTGAACGGATATGTTCACTACCATCGAAGTGTTCATAAATCAGCACTGCACATAAATTATCAAAGGCTTATTGCGTAATGTTGGCGTATTTTTTACGTACCTCCGAACGGGTCCGAACGGGTCCGAACGGGTACGAACGGGTTCGAACGGGTTCGAACGGGTTTCGAACGGGTTTCGAACGGGTTCCGAACGGGTCCGAACGGATGCCTAAGCAGTCGGAACTACCCGAACGGCCATTTTAACACGGAGTGAAAATTATCACTCCAGCATGGAAGAAAGTACTTTTTTCTTTTTGGAGTGGGAATTATTAACTTTCAAGAGATGCAGGTAGGGAAACCCTCCCAACCCAAAAAGGGGGTGAGAAAGGGCACCTAGCTGGGGGACTAAACTCATATTTTCGGACTCTGGTTCTTAGTTGGCCTTTCTGTTTTTTCTCGGAGGAGACCCCAGACTACAAGGGAAACCAGCTGGCACAAGGATCTGATGCATTTTCAACCGCCCGGCTCACGTCTTCAACAGCTTGTGGCTTCTTATGCTCGCTGGCGCGAATGCGAAGGACACCCCAAACATGGCATCGGTCTTCCTACTTCGCTTCCCTTTAAAAACCACCAGAAACGGTGCGCCAAGCCTCAAGCATGAACAAGCCAGTGGGAAAAGAATGGACCAAAACGGGGAGTCAACTCAGTCAACTCCCTTGCAAGTCCTTGGAGGCTGGGCACATCGCTCGTGAAGGTCAGCTGCCTGGCCCATGCGAACTGTGCGTCGCAAGTTGTGTGGATTTGTCTCAAAATGAAATGTATACCACACCCAGAAATTCCATTTCCCTGATCATTTTGACTTCCCTTGGAAACAAGTGTACCCTCAACAAAGTGACAAACCCATTGCGTGGCCTGTGCAACACGCGGCGTGCGTTGGGCAATTTGGGTGGTGTGGGAAATTTGGGCGGGGCCCCAAACTAGCAGCAGTCCACCAATAATTTGGTTGTGGGTCAAAATAGGAACTCAAAACGGACCCTGCTACATGGAACCAAGGGCTAAAACATGCGGTCCCTTTCCTGGTGGTTTAACTTTCACCCGTACCCATTTTTGAGGGTGCCAATTTGTTGATGGTGTTAAAGGGAAACCAAAGAACGACCCAGTTCAACTCCTTCGAGCGCAACGCTTCTCGGCTCCGTACCATGCGGGGCGATTTCCGTTTCGGAAGTCTTTCGAAGGCAGGAAAAAGGACCAGTGACTAGTGAAATCACGCATACTCAAAATTTGATATAATGTTGATCATGAAGTTTCAGATTGCTGTCACATTTCAGTCAACCGGATGGCACAATTCCTCCATTTTGGCGTGATCATGCCCCTTACCGACAGAGAGGGAAATGTGTCATTTACTTCCAAGTGCTTCTAGTTACGACAAAAGGCAACCAGACATTTTTGTTTCCCTACCTACGAACATGGCAGACGGAAGCACACGGGTTGTCTTTTGGTTTCCATTTAAACCCATCAACAAAGGGTACCTTCAAAATGAGCACCAGAAAATCGGTCTGCATCAAAAACAAACCACCAGGATATGGACCGCAGGTTTTAGTCTTTCCATATTCCAAGGTGCCATTGTGGTACATGCTTTTGAGCCACCTGCAAATGTTAGCAGCCATGGGGGTTGATCAATATTCCTGGCCCCAAAATGACCATGGGTAACTTGTCCCATTGAGTGTCAAATATCAAATATATTTCTAGTGGTTTTCCCACCAATCGTCATCCCACGTTTGCTTAAGCCTTCCAGGAGAAAAACAAAACAAAAAAACAATCAAGTAGTGATGAATTCCTTTTAAACCCAACAAGGGAAAGTGAAACATATTCTTCAGCAAATGGAGGTCATCCCACGTCTACCGGACCTTTTGATCAACTCCCACATTCCCACAGCTCGGGCCTTCCAAGCGCGGCCGCTTGGCGCCGGGGCCGCTCGCGGCGCTGGGGGCGCTGGGGGCGCTGCCAGCCTGAAGGGGGAAAAACATCTTGCAGCCCCGGTTCCGAAGCCCCTGGTTCTTGTAGAGGGGACATTCATCCCCGGAATCCAAGCCATTGGAAGGAAGCTGATTGTTGGTTCGATAGGCAAAGAATGAGAAATGGCCCCGATGTAAAAACCAGGCGGTCTTCTGTTTTCGGGAATCCAACCAAGACATGATTCATTCCCACACCCGGACTCGGACACCAGCAAAATGTTGTTGGCCTTCAGTGCTTCCAGTTGCCATAGGTAAACAGTACTGGATCAAGCGGGACACCCCAACCGTAGTCCCCTTCGGACCCCATGAAATTGGGGTTCCAAACAAATCAGACTTTGCAAGTGAGTTGTAAAGGCGGGTGCCTCTTTGTGGATACTGTGGATGGGCGAAATCTGTTTCGCACCACCTAAGAAACCATGGGTTTGCATTGTTTGTTGGTGCTTACAGGGGAATCATCATTCCAGGATTCCAGGTTTCTTAGGTGATGGAGGATTTCGTCCATCCACAGTATACAGTATCATTTACCTCCGTTTGCTTTTTCGGTCCCTGTAACCGAATAATCACACAAGCAAAGACCCCAAACAGCGAAAAATGATTGACACACCACTTCTAACAGCACCCCAGAGAACCCGTCCAGCAATCTCGCAAACATGCGCCCACACCGTCACCAGCACCCCAAACAGCACCCCAAAACAGTACCTACACCAGCACCCCAAAATTGCATGCCGTCAATCTTGCAAAAAATGCGGCCCAAACTGCATGCCCCCAGCACCTGCCGTCAATCTTGCAAAATGCGCCCTCACCGTCACCCCGAACAGCACCCCCAAACAGCACCCCCAGAGCAGCCAGCCGTCAATCTCGCAATGTGCGCCCGCACCCTCACCAGCAGCACCCCAAGCAGCATACCAGGCTCCATACAAGGATCCTCACAAGGTTATCACAAGTTCTTTGGCTCCGCACAATGCTCCTTAAGGACCCTAACACCAGGACCCCAAACTGCACGCTGGGAGCCCCTCTTTCAGCGGGGTTCAAACGTAGTGAAAATCGATCCCCTTTAAAGCCAACAGGGCATTAACAGAAAAATAAACAGTATCTTGGCCTCGCCGTCTTCCGCGTCGTCCTCCTGCGGGAAAAAGGCGCTCCGTTGCGGCCGTCGGTTTCTCCGGAAGAACCAAAAGCTTACAAAACGAACTCACAAATTACCTAGGAAACCACCCGTTGGATGGTTTTTAGGGTTCATTCCAACTCATTCCCTGCTGAGCACCAGCAAGATAAAACAACTCAGTTGTTCAGTGACTCTGGAGAAAAAAAGGGGACCCTTTTGGGGGAAGACCATTCTTAGTGGGGCAGCCACCAAACAAAAAGGGAAAAAAGGTGCCACTGAACAACTGAGTGTTGTGCATTGTGTGACTCGCAAAATGTATCGCAGGTAGTCTTTGGTTCCATTTGCCAAGGGTGCGATTTTCGTACATTTGTTTTGAGCCACAATGTGAGTAATCTTCAAAACCCGGTATTAAAATGGTCGTAATCTCAGAACCATGTAAAAGAACCAAGAAGGCGCATATCCGTAGCTATTCATGGTTGGGAGTGCCCCTTACTAACCGTCATCTACCTGTGTTTTTGCGTTTTGAGCAAGTGGCTCACTTGCCCAAAGGACCAGGACATAAAAGGTGATCACCTTTTGGGGCGTTTACTAAAAATCCACCAAAACGGCAAAGCCAAAAGGTTATAAAGGCGGTCTTTGGGCAAGTGAGAACTAAGCCATGTCAAATCAAAGCCACCGAGCATAACAAGCCTCAACAAACGAACCGATCATATCTCCAAGCCAACCGCCCCGTTTAGCTCGATTCACGCCCGGCCTCGCCGAAGAGATCCTTCATGCTGAGGTTCTGGATGAAGGCTCCGGCCTCGCGCTTGCGCGCTTGCTGGAACCTCCCCTGTCTCGGAACCTCCCTACCATTGGTGTTTGTTTTATAAAATACATTGTATATATATATATATATTATATATATATATGCACTAACTCAATGCATTTTGTGTTTCAGTAACAGGCCAATGCAAGGTTGCCCTCTTTCCAATCGTGGAACGGTGTGCAATGTGGGAGGTGGCATGACATTTGGCTCTGTGCACGCTGCCACTTCGGTTGCACTCACCAAACAATTCGTCAGCCATCCAGGAATCCTGGAGTGAAGGACCTTCCGGCTGAGCTGGTTTTCCCCCTAAGCGAGTAAGCCACAACTGGTGAAAATCATGTGCTCACCTTCGTGCACAGTATTCACCTTTGACATTGGACATGTATATGCCTGTGTGGATGTGAGCTTGATTCAACATAGGGGAAAAACCATGAAACAAATGCTGTTTCCTATGTCGAAAAAGTGCAGTTGTACATCATAGGGGGAACCTGTTTTCCTGTTTGAATGTTGCGTGTTGAAAAGATGTTCTTTCCTTTTGGTTTTCCTCAAACACAACATTCAAGCAGGGGCACCTACTTTGAGACAGACCCATGTGCACCCCTTAGAAGAGGGCGGCAAATTCGTCAGCTAAGTCAGGCCTCTTAAAATCAAACCTGAAGGATGCCCAAGGGCTCAGAGAGGTTCGCAGGACCTGTAGCTTGACATGAGAAATGCGATCGATCTTGCCAATCGATTGGAATCGCAAGCCGAATTGCCGAACGCCCAGCAAGACTATCTCTTCTCCTCAGGGCTGTGGGAAATGGAATCCAAAGACTAACGCCCCAAATAGGGGGGGAACAATTGCTTGTATCACAGAAGTGGTTGGATAAACCCCGAGTGATCAACCACAACCCCTTGATCTCTTCTCCTTGTTTCTATGGTCTTTCGTGGCCAATCCAATTCACGAGGCTCAGTTCCTCAGTCGGCTCGAGTCCAAATTGTTCCACCGCGCGTTGCTCCAAACTCGTCGGCCAAAAGCTGTGGCCGCTGTAGCTCAAAACTCACAAGCTGTGGGTCAAAATGAGTACCCAAAATGGGTTGTCCTGGTAAATGGAACCAAGGACTAAAACCTGTGGTCCTCTGGTGGTTTAAAACCTGTGGTCCAATTCCTGGTGGTTTAATTTTGACCCACCCAAGTGGTAATCCTGGCTGTTCGAGCCGGACTCGAATTCTGTAAACTTCAAATTGCCGTCTTCCATTTGCTTTTTCGCCCCCTGGAAAAAATGAGAAAATATGTCCAGTAGTGATAGATTCCCTTTAAAACCAAGAGATCAAAAAAACATATTCTTGAGGCAACGGAAGCCGTTGTTCCCTTCCGCTGTACACAGGGCAGCCATGGGCGAGCCAGTCGACTCAGCGAAACAAGTCGCCAACTCCAGCTTGGATGTCGCCGACAACACCACCGACGGTTCCGCGGCGCCGCCCGCCCTCGCGGCGGCGGTGGCCGCCGTCCGGGATCTCGAGCACGCCATGGCAGTTCTTGTAGCAATATGGAACGCTGCAATAAAAGTAGCCAAACTCGCAATTGCAGTCCCAGTTGAATCCAGCTGTGGTGCGAGACCTTGTGCTGTTATTGGGCACCAAGCTCCAATTCGCCTTCAAGCTCGTATTGAACGACTTCAAGGTGGGCAAGCCGACAGTCTTGCTTGCATTCGCGGTGGCTCCGGCCTTGTTCCTAGAGCCGCACGCCGATTCGAGGTAGCAATAATCCCTCGAACACACGCTATATGGCGAATCGCATCCACAACTCCAACTTGAGGTGAACTGGCACAGGCACAAGGCTGGGAGGCAGACCAAGCACGCCAAGACGCCACTTATGGTTGCCATGACGCCTGACACCTGATGCTAAGAACTATACAGTTGGCACTTCAAACTCATTTGAGGCAAAGAAAGAACGGCGATGCAATCCGAAGGTCCATCTGTGGGTGACTGCTTGGCAAACTGATCATTCCCCAAAAGACACCTCCATGGTGTCATCTTCTAGGTCCTCCAGTAGAGAGGTTAGAATAAGGGTACCCTTTTTTTTCTGCAGTCTGTTTTAGTAGGGGAACCCTCCCAACCAAAAAAGGGTAAAAGGGCACTACTGGGGGACCTAGTCTTTGTTTGCCCCACCCTTTTATGAACGCATCGCCCCCTTTGTGTCCTCAAGCGAGCCTCTCCAATCAATTGTTCCAAGAGACATGGGACAATTACTTGGTTGACGTGGGAAGGGGAGCAACAATTGAAAAACAAATAGCAGTTAAGTGGTTGGATTTCAACCTCTAAACCACAATGAGCAAAAATGTGAAATGTTTGCCAACAACAACCATAATTAAGGTTTGTCCCTGGTGTGAGGCAATTTGTGTCCACAAAAAAGCCACACCCAGCGTATCCCAGGCGTTTCGACGCGAAAAGGTAACCCTGCGATCCAGGTTTGGTTGTTCGGCTTTTACAGGGCGGTTCCTGCGGTCTCCTAGACCATGGAATCACGGGACATCCCCTCTCCGACTTTTGGAATCAAGGGAGGCATTGCCACACAAATGGTCGAAACGGATTTCTCTTCGAACCTCAACAGCTTGGTCGACCATTGAATATCCACCTGAAAGCCTGGGTGCCAAAAAAACGGGAACTAAGACACATGTCCAACCGACTCTTTTGGCATCCACTGCAGACCTCTAGACACCTGGTGGCTATGCAAGACTTGGATGAGCCCTGCTCAAAACCCAAGCCAAAGAAACAAAGCGAGAACGCGGTCGATGAGCCAGCGAGCTGGGCGCCTCCTCTGCGAACTGGGCGCTGTCCATCAGAGGGGCGCTCTCCATCAGAGGGGCGCTGTCCTGACTCCGAGAAACCTCTCTCTTTGGGGATGGAAAAAAGAGGCCACCACGTGAGCATCGGTGTTATTTTTTTTTGATGGGTTTGGTTGCGAAATGGGTGCCACTGCTGTGGATTGGTTTCATGCCATCCATTTGCTGCCATCTATTTTGCAAGGACACCTATGAGTGTGGGCATGTTTGGGGCTTCATTCCTGGAAGAAGAAAAAAACGCTGCTTTTGGATTTGGTGCAACACTTAGGTACAACAGGCAGGAAGGCTTCCTTGGTGCTGGAGCCAACCAAAACCGCCAAAACATCTCCGTCTGAGTGCTTCAGCCATCATCTCCACCCCCCAAAACCTGGGTGTTCTTTTGAACTGGCCTTTCCTCTAAACCAAAGAAAAGACACCACCCACATGGTGGACACCAGAGCCTTGCAGCGGGCGAAACGCGCCAAGAACATCTCGAGGCTCTGGCCAGATCCGGCGCCGGCGTCTTCGCCGGCGTGGTCGGGGCGTACCCAGAGGACTCGGGCGATCGAGCGATAAGACGCGAAAGTTGTTGCCTCGGGCTGCCCGTTTTCAGATCCCCCGCTTAAAGTGGCTAGCTGTTAGCGGGTTAAATGGAAACTAAACACCAAACCAACTGAAAAGCTAAAGCTATGGAACCACTTCCGTGGCTTGGCCATGAGAAGTCAAAGCCGTTGGGTTCCACTGACATGGTCTTCGAACGCCCAGCACCTCTTGAAGTGTGCAGATTCCTCCGGCCAGGGCGTGACCAGATCAACCAGAAACCCCGGAAGTCAGTGGGGTCGAACATACTGTGGATGGTTGCGAAATCCAGAAATCGCACCACTTGGAAACCATAGTTGAAACCAGTGTTTATTGGTATTTACAGGGGATTCGAATCAGAAGCCAGGCTTTCTGAGTTCGGTGGTGCGATTTCTGTATTTCGCAACCATCCACAGTATGGCCATTTTTTTCAAAGGGGGGATGCCGCACAAGGTTCGCACCAGCCACCTGCGACCGGAAACAAACGGTGCTGGATGTCCTGAATAATTTCTGGAAGAAAATTCGTGGGCCCTCTCGGACCCGGATGCTGCCGGTTCGCAGCACCAAAAAAACCGAGATGGGGCCCCAACTTCGAACCTCCCCCCTTTCCCCGCGAAAAAGTCCTGGTGCTTGGGGAATTTCAGCAAGTACCCTATGCCTCCAAACCTGTGGACCTGTGGCTCTTTTGGATGCCCTTTAAACTGAGATGAAGGCCTTCGGAGACAACTAATTTATACATATATTATATCATATGCATTCAACACCGTTAAAAAACACGCAGAAGGAGTGTCTTTCGTTTGGTCTCCATTCAAACCAACATAAACACAATCCAGTAGTGGTAGATTCTCTTTGAAACCAACATTAAGCAAATGGAAGTAATATGGAACCCAGGGGACAGGTATTTGTGATCGCCCTCCTTCCTCTTGGCCCCCCCTTTTGCCTGCGGCTTCTGCGCCGCCGACACTAAGGCCGCAGAATCCTGAATATGGCTGGTCAAAATGAAACACTCGGGGTTACGCAACCGGACTGGATGAATTTTAATATTTCACCAACCTAAAATATGGTGGTTGGGGGGCTATTCTCCACATAAACCGCCATTTGGGGTGAATTCGGTCGTGTGAGGTCGGATGTGTATCTTGGAGGTTTATGTCGACAAAACCATGTGTGGAGAATCCTAAGCCAAATGGCCGCATTCGTGCAGGCTTCCGTTCAAGATCCCGGAATAAGGGACTCAATGTTTTAATACATTCGCAAATGCTAGGTTTTGAACCATACAATTTGCTTTATAGTGAGGCCGTTGGTTGTTTTCTTGGAACAATGGCTGCGGGTCAAACAACGGGGGGAACCCCTAGTATACGGAAACAAGAACTAAACCCTGTTTTAATCAGGCTCACCTACAAAGGACACCTATGCTCTTGAGCTTCTTTTTTTTCTGGGACATGACGGCACTGGATTCTCTCCTCCTCCGGCGTGGCAGACGGCTGCACCTGCGGTCTGGCAGAGTCCTGAGCGTGCGATGACAGCGGGAAGAGAGCCGAGGAAGAGAATCAACTCTCTTGGCCAGTGACCAGCCCAAAACAAGTGTGCATTGCTTGGGCCGCTACTAGAATAAAGGGAGAGCCACCACGCAAAAAGTGTACAGTGTCCCCACTGGCTGGGTGAGTCAACTGATGAATCCCATTGAATCCAAGGGAGGCACTTTTTTTGGAATGGATTCGAAACACCGCATCACTCAAGAGAGGGTTCAAACAAGTGCGAAAAAAAAATGTTGCCCAACATGAGGTAGTTTTGAGCCCATGAGGTAGATTGCGCAAGCCCCTTTTTTCAGGTCTCTTTTAGAATGCTCTCACTGCTTCTTGGGAATGAATCAAACGGCCAAAAGTCCTGGACCAGACCAATGCCTTGCACCCAAAAGTCCTGGTGATTTACTTCCCCCCTCCTGCTCGTTGTCGGTCAGCTCCAACTCCGAGCCTCGCCACCATCGGCCGGAGGAAACTCTGAACGAAATCAGTAGGTAACCCTCAGGGAGATTTCGGAAAGAAGCAGTAAGTTCCGCTCACATCAGGTATCGCTCTCCAATCACTTGGTTTCCTTTTGGTTTCCTTTGGTTTCTGTTCTATTCCTTCTGATTCTCATTTGGCTTCCCTTTTGCTTTCCTGTAAAAATCCGCAAAAGGGTCAGCGATACCCATATGCATTCCGCCCCACAGGATGCTGGATGTTTGGGGCCTTCTCGTTGGGGCTTTTCGGGCTTAAATTTAGGGTGTAGGGCGCAGGTCTAGGGTTTTCAGAGCTTAGGGTGGGTTATGGGATTAATCGAGCGGCTCACCTAAATGCTTAACTTAGCTCAAAAGGCCATGATTTGGAGACCACGCGTTGCTAACGAAAGCCAAGAGAAGCCCACTTTGACCTCTCTGGGAACCATGCCTTGCTTGAAGTGCTCCGGACAAAAGCCAGTTGTGTCTTCGCGTTTTATGCACCACCCAGAGTGGCTTCGGTTTTCCTTGTAGTGTCCATTTAAAGCCGCAAAACGCCTCAAGAACAAGAAAACATCTCCGGTTAAAAACATGTTTTAGTCAGTTCCCATCTCCGATTCGGCCTTGCTTTCACTCTCCCTACGTACGCGCAAGGCCGCAGAGACTGGCGCATCAACACATCGAACCATGTCATTCCCTTCCCCACCTGGAGCCGGTTTGACCTGGCCGTGCCGCAAGATGAGTCTGTGTGAAAAAGGCATTGCCCTCCCGTCCACTTCCATATCTAGTCGCAACTGGCTGCAAATGCCTGCAGGATGCGACGAGAAAAACACGGAGCTGCGATTTCTGACCACCCCCAACTCAGCCACCCCAAATCCGACGCTGCTCAGCGAATTACCCTTCCTCCCACGAAGGCAGGATACGTGGAAGATAAATTTCCTCTTCAAGGGGCCCTTTGTCAGGTGCCATGGTTGCGCGAGGGTGGACAAATGAACCTTTTTCAGGTCTTCACGCCACAATGAAGCTCTTTCATGTCTTCATCGTCCCAATCCTTCCAGCCCCCAAATTCTCTTGCTCGTTCATGATGTCCAACAGAAACCATCTATGTCAAGTGTCTCACCCCTGCTCCAAATAGCCTCTATGTTTAGGGCATGTTTTGAACAACCTGGTAAATACGGCCTTGTTTAGCAAAGAACTAACATGATACCCTAAAACAAAACGGGTATTTGGAGTAGGGGGCCGTTGTCCACAGTTCTGAGTGGGGGCTTCCCGCGTGAGCAAAGATCAAAGCGTGTCCAGCAATAGGTTCCAACGCAATCCGGCCACATCAAAGGCCGGTCGTGAACAGTAGATGCAAAGAATCCCTCTCCAGCGGCAAAGCGTCATACTCATGGAATAAACGCGCCACCTCACCAGAACCCCCCCCCCCCCCCGCGTTCTCCTTAGTTGGTCCTTATGTCCCACCAATGGCCACCAATAGTCTGCAACAGCTACTCTTGCTACATTTTGGTTCCGTATTTTATGAGGAAAGCCTGGGGAGAAGCATGGGGAATCTTGGGGAACGGTTCTGGGTGGAGTTCTCGTTCAATCCATGCCTCCTCGGGCAACTCTGCGAGCGCAAACCTGAGCTTGAGGCAATCGACTCTCCATCCCATCCCTGCGCTTCCAGCTACCCGTTTGGAAACCTACTTTCAGCTTCCCTCCAATGCTAAATTGGGATGGTTTCCCATTTACCCTCTACAAGAACCAGCGGTTCAAATCCAGACCCAAGCCGCCAATCCAAACCACCAAGTAAGGGGAACCCTGATGTCAAGTCAGGCAAAATACCTGTCCAATCGGAAGCTGCAAGCACTAGTAAGTCCAGATGGACCCAAAAAAGGGCACCTCAAAAACAAGCGCGCGCCGCACGAATATTGCAAGTACCGGACAAATCGGACATATGGCAAGTGACCGTGTACTGTGCCAGGCGTTTGTTGATTCGTGTGCCCGGGTCCCTTCCAATATCAATTGAATCCACCGTATCTCCTAGGTCCTCCAGTAGAGAGGTTAGAGTGGAGAACCCTCTCCCAAAAAAGGGTAAAAGGGCACTACTGGGGGACCTAGTCTCAGTTGTAAGGAACCCCAATTTCGCCCCCAGCCTTTGCCTCACCAAACAGCGACCCGACCCCCTTCTGCACCCGCTCCGAGCCCGTTTTGTCCGCTTTCAGCCAGCCGGAGACGCCGCAGAGGGTCGGTGCTTTTTTTCTCACGATTTGCATTCATTCTTTGGTCCTCTCATCTGTGCGCAAGACTACCTTCAATGAGTGTCCGCAACACGGAAGTTCCTTCTAAACTTCCTTTGATCGGGATACTGACTATGATCTGTATTCACGAACCCTAAAAAGCGATTGGTCTCCCCAAAGGACAGTTCCAAGTGGCAGACCAGAAGACCAGCGGCTCCGATGCGATCGCTCCCAAACGCCTCCCGAAAAGTCCCACTTTTGGACAAAGATGTCGAGTTGAGCTCAGAAACCGGAAGCAAAACAAACACTTCCCCCCATGAGCAAAAACTCTTGGGCCATTCCATGTTGAGCACACTTCTTCCTGTCAATCCTCAAGAGAAGCAAGGTACAGTGCCTCAGTCGTTCAGCCTGGAAAAAAGGAACCCTTTTTTGGGAAGACCATTTTTAGTGGGGCAGCCACCAAAAAAAAGGCCACTGAGCAACTGAGGTGCGGAAAATTGGGCTGGCCCGTGGCTCCCGGCCGGTCTGGGTAGATCTGGCGCTCCAACTCGTTCACCCTCGGCGAGCGGGTCTCGGCGATCAAAACTTTTGAAGTCCCGGACTTCACAACCCCATTCCAACTACGGTACACGCACACCAACCAAGCAAGTTCAAGTGAGTTGCCGGAATATCGTAAAAATGAACAAGCCAACGCAAGGAACTTGGACGATCTGAGCAAAACAGTCATGAGCCATGCACAGAAGCACGGCTCATCCGGGCATCAAAGCCAGCCAGCTTCACCGACTCGGAGACAGCTTGCCGATTCTGCGTCACTACATGCGTGATAGATTTACCACCATAGGTGGCCTTTTGGAAAAATCGATGGATTTCCCTGGTAAATGGAATAAACCCCATCTAAACCAGTGGAACCCATCTATTTGTAACCAAACTAGCCTAAAAAGGACACCTATGTTTACCACCCTGGAATAGCGTGTCACATTCTGACGGTCTCCTGTTTCACAGCCTTGGCTTTACAATCGTTCTGAGATCCGTCAAGCCCTCTGGCTGAGCGTATCTAGGTCCTCCAGATTTGAGAGGTTAGAATAAGTTGGTATCCGATTTCTCATGTTTGTGTATTTTAGTAGGGGAACCCTCCCCCAAAACAGGGCAAGAAAGGGCACTGCTGGGGGACCTAGGTATATCTTGGACGTGTAGACTTGTACAGCTGAACTTCGTCAACTTTCAAGACGTTGGCAACGGTGGACACGCGCCATGCAGCAATCTCATGGGGGTGCCGTGGAAAATTGACCAAACAGACGTCAACTCGCATCGTTTGGTTGCTCAAATGGAAGACATGTAAACAAAGATTCGGACATGCAGACACACTCCGCGACACTCCAACATCCCTTTCGTGCGCAGTCACTTCTTTGAATCCAAGGAACTGGGAATGGGCTGAAGCTAGGTTTCTTTGCTCAAGTGGGCCTTGGCTTATTTTGGGTAACAAGCGGGTTCTATCAAAGGCAGGATGCTACGGACTTGTTTTTTTTCTTTGGTGCAAGCGTTTGTTAGAACCCAGTGAGGGTTTCCTGATTGTTAGCTGCAAGTAGCAAACAGGAAGACTTGCCTGCGTCAAAAGAACCACGCTTGAGGCCCCCCCACCCCAGAATCACAACCCCAAATTTGCCTCATGGCATATGAGCCTTCCAGCTGGAGATGCTACTGAATGAACCAGTATCCATTCCTCTTGAAATCCCAATGGGGGCAAGCAATCACAAGCACATGTCAGATGCAAGTTCTGTCAAACTCCGCTGCATTTTCACACACGTTTCGAGCCACGAGGCTTTCGAGCTATGCGCTGCGCAGATGCCTTTTGCCTGTGTCTGGCGGATCTTTCTGCAAGCCGCATGGAGCGATCCCAAAAGTTAGTAAGAAACACACGCCATTCTTCATCACTTCCTGTGTTCCAAATTCACATGGCAAAACGTCCTCATGAACCCGTTCATCCAGTTGCTTAAGGTGATACATTTACACAACAGCTCTTAATCTGAAGCACTGAACACAAAAAGTAAGAAATTGGACACAACCACCAAACACAAATAAACACCGCCTATGTCCCTTTCAAACCAGAAACAAAGCAAATGGAAGCACTGCTCGGTTCTGTACAAGCCAATTTCAAGCGCTCGCAAGCGCAGGCCGCTCACTCCAACGAGTACTCGATTGTGCCCACAAAATATCCTTAGATGGGCCAAGGTTGCGATTTGCGATCCAAGAGCCCTGGGGGTTGAACAACAGGTCCTTTGCATGGGATGACCATGCCCACAAAATGGGAAAAGCTAGCCGTCATTGGAGGGCCAGGAATATCGATCAACCCCCTTGCCCTGACCCCTCCCCATGTTTCCTCCAAAGCAAGACCCCCAAAAATGCCTTGTTGAAGCCTTGGCGGAGTTTGGAAGGGGGTGGACCCGACGGCAGGGAATGTTCAGACGAGATTGCAACCTCCTAGCTTTTGGAAAGTGGGGGTGCTCTTATGAAGAAAAAGTCACGGAACCCTCCCAAAAAGCAGAAACCAATAGAGGAATCTTCTAAGGGCTTGGACTTGGTTGCTGCCGATCACTAGGGAAGTATGCTGAGTTTAGGTGCCGGACATCTTTTGATGTTCAGACGAAAAGCCCCCGCTGATCAATTTCGTTCGACCGGGACCCCAAACGTTGCGCTTCTCCCTTTAGTTTCCCTTTCAAGGGGGGGCACCCTAAAAAACAGACCTACCCACAAAAGGCGCGTGGCTCACTTGGGCCCGAGAACAGCCGAGCTGACTTCAGAAACCCAGGGTGGCAGGAGTTGTGCAATGACCAGAAAACGCAACCAAGTACAGTAGCTTCCTTCCAGTGGGTGATTTTGATTGGTGGTTTGGTGGTGTTCCGGGCTGGGCCCAAACAAATTCCCCTCAAGAACTAGGGTGTAAATCCCCAAACCACCAATCCAAACCGCCAACTAAAACATGCCCCGGACACCAAGTGAACACACCAAGTAAGCACTGCGAATTCCCTTCCCCCCCCCCCAAACAAAAAACCAACAACACAGAAAATCGCCAACACTGCTCCACATCCCGAGCCACATCTTAGGGAACGCCCCAAGGGGCGGTCGCTGTCGTGCGCCCCCACAGAGAAGGGTTTGCTGCCTCAGACCAGATTTGCGGCACTGTCAGGAGCTTGCCTGTCAGGAGCTCGGGTTTGTCTCTTCTCCCCAAAAGAAGTGGCTTTTTCTTGGTCCCCTTCAAACCCCAAAAGGGGTAGCCTCATAAGACACAGCCACATTCCTCCGAAGAGCTTGGGCTTGGATGTGAATCTTGGGAATCAACTTGGGTTCATTCCCACATTCCCTGAGCACCAGGTTCTGGTTCCCATGAATTTGGGGTACTCCAGGCCAGGGGTCTTTCGAGATCCAAACCGAGATCTCACGAGGCACAGGGTTGCTCCCGGGAGCAACCCGATCGGCAGGCTATGAAAGTTGACCGCAGGATACTTCGTCTTGGTGTGGCATTTGTTGGAGAGTGTCACACCTCCTGGGAGGTTGGGTGTCCCCTTCTGCTTTTCTTGAGGGTACCTACTCGGGGGGTGGTTTTAGAGGGACAACGGCAACACCCATTTTGGAGTTGTGCAACGGCTCGGAGCGCCCAAAACACTCCAGGCTTCCGGGCCAGTGACGCGACCTCTCAGGCACGCCAGCCTGGGTTTGAGCAAACTTGCAGGAAGGATGATGGGACCCGTCTACGGGTGCTTTGCGAATTTCGGCAGGTTTCCAAGTGGAGCATCCTCCAAAAATGTCCACATGTGGCGCCAAATCCCACTTTGACGCTGAGACCCTGACTCCGATTTGGCCCAACTCAATAGGCATGCAAAGGGTTCCCGGATGCCTCACACGTCTGAGCCCGGATTACAGAACCTGGATCAAAGAGCAAGTCCCCAAAGGCTAAACCTGACCGGGTTCCCCTTTACAAGCTCCGGAAATCCGCTGACCTCTCCAAGAAGCATGGGGCCGCCCGTTTCCGACTTTGGGAACATCGGGCAGGCGTGAAGATTCTGAACCCATGGGCTTTGACACCAGAACTCCACTTCCGTCAGACAGCTCCAGTGGCTCCTAGTTGGTTCATGTAGGCACCCAGCCATGTTCCCTTCAGTCGGATGGTGTACCTGCTTTCCAGGAAAAACACACACACTGGGATGGCCGCGCCCTTGCGATTTCAGCGTCTACTTCTTTAGTATTAATTGAATGGGGCTGCTTTGACGCTAAGCAAAGTCATCCCCTGGGAGCTCGAGCCGCTGCTTTCTGCCAAGGCGCTTCATGCCCTCGCTGAGTGCCCGTTGCTCCGACAGCACCTCCAGTGAGCGCTCGGCTCCCGGCCCTTCCAGCGGCCCGGGCGGGCAACCGGGGAGTTGAAGCCCTGCTGCTTGAGGGTGATGTTGGACCCGTGGAGGATACTAGAGACCCCTAAAACCGTCACGGGATCCAACAGTTCTACAATAGAGGGTACTATTACTCAAGGAGGTCTAACATTACGTGGGATTCCCAGCCCCGAAACGTCTCCAAACCCCAAACAACAATTGGAGGGAGGCTGACAAACCTGGCAGGTTAGGTCAATCCCAAAAAAACTCTCTATATTCTGCAACCAGGGCTCACTCCAGTGGGAGGCCAGTTCTTTCGAGGGGCGGATCAAACGGAACCTTCAGCGTGGTTTGGGGTTCTCGTCGGACACATGGGGCTCCAGGGGTTTCTTTCAGTGGCTTCGCTGAAGGAGTTCTCCAAAGGCATTTGCTGGCGACCAATGCTACGGGAGGACCATGTCCACCTCCTAGTCTACAAAGAGGCTATGGGCACTCTCGTTCGGCCTTCCAAACAAAAGGGAACCTCAACTTTTGCCAAGGTCAGCTGAGCCACTTGCTCAAAACCGATTCGGGGAGGAAGGTTAGTAAGGGACAATCCAAACCATAAATAGCTGCGGATGCGCCTTCTTAATTCGTGAAGCATGGTTCTGGGATTACGACCATTTTAGTACTGGGCTTTGAGCCAGTGACTCAGCTGGTTTTGACACCAAACCAGGATTCCCGTCCTCAAACCTACGTCAATCCTTTGGGCCTCATCTTTCCCCGTGGATCCCAGTTCACACTTACCAGAGTAGAACCCCCAGGTTCATTTCAGCTCGGGCTCCTTCCCTTACCGTTGACCCGTCTAGCTTCCTTCTGGAATTCCTCCTCGGGTGCCGCACGCTTTGCAGGCGCCCCGGAATCGAACCATATGGCACCTTGTGCTGCGGCTCGGAGGGCCGATCGGAGTAGAGCAGGTCATCCGCGCCTCGCGCGGAACATCTGGCTGTGCGCGCCATTTTTTTTGCGTTTTCCGCCGACACGAGGACTTCCCCCCGAAAGAAGACATCCATTTCGCACCACCGAACTCAGAAACCCTGGTTTCTGATTCGATTTCCCTGTAAATGTCAACCAACAATGGATTCAACCATGGTTTCAAAGTGGTGCGAAATGGATTTTGTCCATCCACTGCACGAAAAGCTGATCATGAAACAGAA